CTCCCCTCGCGGACGTGCCAGCCAGGCAAGTACCGGCGGCTCTTGTTCCACCGCAGGGAGCGGGGCGCTGCCGGCGTTCCCTCTCTCACCCTCCCTCTGGGGACAGGCAAGCTGCTCACCATGCGACTGACGCCCAGCCGGGGAGGCAGCGGGGGCAGAGGCAAAGGTGGGTTTGAACTCCACTTCTGCCTGCCACTCAGCAGCTCTGAGGCAAGGCCCGAGCAAGTCACCTCCACGGCCACAGGCCGAGGTTCCTCCTGGTCCTGCCTGCCAGCTCCACGGTAGATCAAGAAAGACCATGTACCCACGCTCTGTGTGCTGGGATGTACCAAACACAAATACCACACTACCGACTCCGGCCTGCCTCCCTAACTTCCTGATTACTTAGTGGTCAGATTTCCCGGGCCAGCAATGTTTAAATCGAACGGGTGGAGTCCTGGACCTCATTCTGCCGCCTACATGCCAGGTGAGGTCAAGAAAGTGACTTGCACTTCCACGGCTGAATGTCCCCCCGTTAAAGGGGCCTCGGCCAGGGCCCTCAGGCACGTGGCCTGTGGAGTAAGTGACATCTCAGAGCCTAAAGCAGGGGCTGGCTAGAGGCTTCTCCTTCCTTCTCGTCCATGCGGCAGTACCAGGCCCTGCCTCCGTGTGGAGCCTCTGGGCTGAGCGGCTCTGAGAGGTAAGCCTGGCCACATTCACTGAGGGGAGCTCAATGCGGTTCCCCAATGCAGCCAGCAGGCAGTGCACCACGGCCTGCACTGTATGAGGAGGCCACAGGGACAGGCGGGGACAGAGGTGAAGCCGCACTATGAGCCCCCAGGCCTGTGCCCTTAGCCGTCATTCCACGACAAGGGGAAAGCTGTTTGCTGAGGAATGAAAGCCATGGCCTCGGAAAGAGGGCTTCTTGGCTGCGCCCCAAGACCTTGCCAGGACAGGCTGAAGGTCTAAATTTGCAGAAATCCTCAAAGCCACACTGCTCTTCACCTGCAGCCTTCCACCAAAGGTGCCCAGTGGAAGAGTATTGTAAGGCCCGTCAACCTCATTCTCCACGTGTGGACGTGGGTAAACTCCACAGTCCCAGAATGGCAGGACATGATTCCGGCCAATTATCTCATGTTGTACACGAGGAGAATGAAGCCAAAAGAGGAATGTAATTCACGTAAGGGCGGCTAAAATTCAGACGCCTGGTGCAGGCCTTTTATTTATTGTTTTCAAGTATGTTCATGCATCCCATAAACATTTAAAGAACACCCATTAAGTGCAATGCCTTCTGCCAGGTGCCAGGGAGACCCTGATGGACAACAGACATGGGCCCTGGTGGGGAGGATCTCACACACACACACACACACACACACACACACCTGCAAGCAGGGGAGCCCTGTGGAGGGTGAGGGGTGGGGGCGGGGGCAGTGAGGGTGATGTGGGCCCGGCTCAGCTGAGGTCCTCAGGGCACCACAGCATGTGAACTGGGAAATGTAGAAGCAGGAACACATGGTCCTTTCCTTACTTTGTGACCCTAGCATCTAGAACCCTGTACCAGGAGCAGACCCACTATTTCTCCACCCAGGAACCCATTTTCCTCATCGCCTTCCTTCTGACCCACCAAGAGCGACTCCTAAGAGAATATTCAAAACTCACTCCCATTAAAGCAGTGGTCAGCAAACTCATTAGTCAACAGAGCTGCGGTTTGCCAACCACTGCACTAAAGCCTACGTACCGATTAGAGTTTAAAGTGCTACCTCTCACAGGGGGTTGCAGTTTGACAGGAATCGGGTGACAGCTAATGGCAGGAAAGGCCTGCAGGTGGGAGCAGAGGGGCCTGCAAAGTCGGCACTGAAGCTGGCCCAGCCTTTCTCCCTCAGAGCAGGAGGGAAGGGAGGAGCTGGGAGAGATGGATAAAGCAAACTCTGACACCAGCCCCAGAGCCCACCTACCATTTGAATCTCAGTTTCTTGTCTAGAACGGGGATATTTGGCCTCACCCATGTAAATTTCAGGGGCTGACAATGAAATGGGGTAACAGCGCCAGCCTCGCCTGCTGGTTTTGCGGGTTCCCAGAAGTACATGTGGAGTGTGGGGCAGGGCGCTTGGCCCCTGGGCGGTGCTGGCCTGTTCCTCCTCCACAATGGAGTGGTGAGAGGACCACTGGGGGTGCAGACTGGTCTGGGACCCCCTGGCAGAGGAGAAGCAGAGCAAAGCATGTGGTCCACTGACAGCAAGGCACTCCTGAATTTGGCTAAGCCTGGCGTCCTATGCCCGGGGGCCTATATGGGTCCTGCCTTCATGAGACAATTTTCTTTCTTTGTTTGTCAGATGTGAGCCAGTCTTTACGTAGCAAAGATATTTCTCCCTGAAAAGATGAAATTAAAACGAAGGATGTCTTAGCCAGAATGCAGCTCTCCTAAAGATCAAGGACACGGAGGAGGTGCTCTGAGGGGAGGCGAGCGCCCGACCCCTGGGCCACAGCCCAGGGCGCTCTGCTCCAGGCCCCGCTCTGCTCCAGGCCCCGCGCTGCATGTGTGGGATGAGGAGCACCTGGGCCTCCTGGCTGGGCGGCTCAGACTTGCACAGAGAAGGACTGCAGGCTTCCAGCTGGGGTGGAGCTTTCTGGTGGATGAGAAACTCGAGGTCTCACACTGGAAGCTCAGAAGTGTGTTAGAGTGAGAGACTGGTCCTTTTACGTTATGTCCCTCAAGGTCATCTGTCAGCCTAAGAGAAGGTCATGAATGTTTCACCTCCTCGGCCCTGGAGACAGGTGTGGGCTGCTTCTATAGCTCACAGTCCCCGGGTCTCTCTCCTCCACTGGGCATAGGTCTGGGGGACAGCACCAGGACTCTGGCCCCTGAGAAGGGGAATAAAGGGACACATGGCAGTTTCATTCCAAGGTCTATCCATTCTGAGGGGAAGAGCCAAACACAAAAGATCTGAACATCTTTGAATGCTTGATGCCGCTGCCAAAAAGGCAGCTGGACCGCCGTCAAGAATGCGAGTGCAAACACATGTGCACGACTGTCAGCGGGTCAGAGCGGGTGGGGTGGGTGGCGAGGTTAGCTCCAGGAGAGCCAAGCCCAGGACGGCTCAGGGTGGCGGGAGGGGCCGCACAGCTCCCTGCAATCTCCCCCACTCGGGTCAGGCTGGCACCTGCAGGAGCTCAGTTCTTGTTAACTGAGAGAATGGGCCGAGTTCCCAGCCAAACCTATGCTCCTTCAGTGACAAGAGGCCAGCCGAGAGGGCCCTCTGGATCCGCCAGCTGCTCGGGGAAGCAGCGGCCCATGGCACGGTGCCACAGGACAGGAATGAGGCTCAGGCTCCTCATGCTACAAGGACATCTTCCTCAAGCGGAGGCTCTCTCTGCCTGATGTCACAGAGCGCCCGCCTCGCCAGGGACTGAGGTGTGTGCTTCCCCTGGTGGGCGCCCGGGAACCTGCCTCTGAGAGCTCCCCAGCCTCCCAGGCGGTGGGGGGCAGGGCAGTTTCTTCTCGCAGCGCCAAGATGCTCCAGCTCCTCTATGGGACCGGGGGAGGGAAGGGACCAGGCAGACGGTGAGGACGGGGAGGTGGGGGACCTTCCTTTGCAGTCCCACTGGCCAGCGCCTGCAGAGAACGTGCCGTTCCAGCTGGAGCTGTGACAATGATGGAGTCTGGGCACATGAGCCGGAGAGGGCAGACACATAATGCTCTCTTTGTGTCTGACAGTTGAGTGTCTTGAGCCAAAAACCTCCTGAAACTCCCTGAAGATAACATGAACATTTCTTCCCATGACAGGGTGCCGTGACTTCCAATACCCCAGGCAGCCCATCTGCCTCCCGCCCCGAGAGTGCCTGGGCGAGAACAACAGGGTGCGTCACACTGCTGGGGGCTGAGATAACGCACAGCCCCGGTGGCGTGCGGGGCGGGAGGCGTGGCAAGTGGAGAACAGGACTCTGGAGAGGCAGGGTCTTGAGGCAGACACGTTAGTGAACCTGGGAGTTGAGGAAGCAATACTCTATTCCCGCCAACACTGCACCAGGGACGCCAGCTACTGGGACCGTCGGAGCACTCGGGCGTTTATCAACCTGCCTCTCTGCCTGCAGTGCAGTTAGTGTTTATTGAGGCCTTACCATGTGCCAGACACTGCGTGAAGTACTGCACAAGCATCATTTCACGTGAGACTCGTTAGCACCAAGGGCTTAGGTCCTGGCATCACCCTCACTTTACAGAGGAGAAACGGAGCCTCACGAAGGTAAGGGCCTTGCCTGAGGTCCCACACAGCGTGCCAGAGCCAGGATGGGGATCCAGGCCGGGAGTCTGGCTTCTTACCCGCTACTCAAAGCCCAGATGGTGCAGGAGAGCTGATGCCACAGTTCGAGGACCACAGTTTCATCCCCAGCAAGACGGTGCTAGGAAGGGGCGAGGGAGCCACGGCCCACAGGCCACATGGGCGCAGAGGGTTTTCTCAGCTCGTGCACCTGCCCTCCCCTGCGGAGTCCCTGCCACTCTTCAGACTAAAACACCCACCTATCTGCCTGTCAACAAACTCCGGCAAAGCAGCCAGAAGCTGCATTCTACTCTCCTGTGGAGAACAAGGCCATCTCGATAAAGGCTGGGGCGTTGAGAGGACTTTTGTTTGTTTTGTTTTTTGGTAGTGAGTGTTGGGAATACAAGACCCTGTTCAAAACCACTTCCCTTTCAGATCTGCCCTGGATTACACTCTGGAGGCCCACAGCCACACCTTCCCACTTCCTGCAGCCGGCCAGAGCCCAGCGCTGCACGCCCAGGTTCTCTGAGCGCCAGCCGAGCCTCCACAGATGGTCAGCTCTGCATGGGAGGTAGACTCGGAGTCTCTCCACAGCCAGCCTGTGCTTGAAAAGGGGAAGGGCCCTTTTAACACGGGCCCATTTCCTTTTCAGGGACCTAACCTTGGACTTCCCAAAGATAGAGCCATTGGCCAGGTGCTTGCTGAGCACCCTTCCTGCCAGCTGAAGCTGTATCTTCCTGGAGCTCTGAGCTCTGAGCCAGGAAGGGGAAGAGGCTATTAAGACGTGGAGGCGCGGAGAACTGCCAGGGGCTGGAATGACAGGCAAGGCCTCCCCAGGCTTCCTGGAGCTGTCACAACGAGAGAGGCTGACAATTACTGCCTCCCAGATGAAAACCAAGGGCCTCGCTCAGATTCTGGGGGAGCGGTTGCAGCGGCCGTTCTTCACTGATCCCCACACGTGAGGGGTCTTCCCAGCCTGCGTGAGGCCGCACAGCAATGGACGGGGTCCGCACGGAGGCTCGGCCTTGAGCTCCTAGTCCAGCTGGGTCAGCATTAGCTTTCCTCGCCTTCGAGAGTCACTGGCACCCGTGTCTCGGTTTCCCCATCAGGAAAACTCAGGAGGCTGGACCAGATGATCTCTAAGGCTTCCAGCTCTAACTTTCTCAGAAGCTGTGATTCCCTCTCTTTCCAATTTTGGAGATAAAATAGGGATAAATCCTGAGGGCTACAAGGAGAAAGAATTCCATTATCCCCCGTGCTGAGTGACCCTGGGTCTTGGCGAGGAATGCAGTTGACAGGGGAGACAAATGGACCTGGAGAAGCTTCTGGGACTGTCCTGCAGCCTGAGGTGGGCCGAGAGAAGGGCTGGGATGCGTCCTGGCAGGGTCCCTGTTTCAGGCTGCCTCTTAGGAACATGCGGACTGCACGCCGATCCCAGAGATGAGCAGTCAGAAGCAGTGTGTTTCTCCTCTCTTGTGGCATCTACTTCTTCCACCTCCCAGGCTGAGCCGAGGAAGGACAGTGTTACAGGAGAGGAGGTCCCTGCGAGCCCCTGCCCATGCGAGGTTCTAGAGTAGGGGTGTCAAACTCAATCAGAGAAGGGGCCAAAATCTAAAATACAGCCTAAATCGCGGGCCAAATGGTTTATTGAACAGTCATAAACTGTCATTGTGATGGAAACGCAGCGGAGTGCAGTGACGACAGTGGGGTGCGGGCCACATTGCAAGGCCTGGCTGGACGGATTTGGCCCACGGGCCTTGTGTTTGACACATGTGTTCTAGAGCTATGCCACTGAGAATGTCAAGGCCCAGGTTCTGCCTTCCCAGTCACACGCTGAGTCAACACTCTGATGCTCTGCGAAGGCCATGCGAGACAGAACTGAGTCTCAGAATGAAAGAATTGGGTTACTCACTGTTTTGGGGACAATCTGTTTCTTGGGCTGCCCAATCTTGAAAGGAATCCTATAAGACAAAGAGACAGAGAGGGATGTTAGGAGAAATGGGGAAGGATGTGGCTAAACAGAGCTGAGAAAATACAGGTAAAAAGACAATGGCAATGGCTCGCTTTCTGCCACCCGAACCACGTGCCCTGTGGGCCTAGGACCATCAGTGCCCAGGCTGGGCTCTGGGACGGTCATGCTCCCATGGACAGTGTCAGATGCAGGTCTTGGGCACCACCTTCTGCCCCAGCGCAGGAAAGGGGAGATACTATACGAACAAAGGTCACCATAAACCTTGTGTCTCAAGGACTGCAAAGTTAGAAAGTACAGGCTCACTGTTATCCTAGAACAGTGGTCAAAATATCAACGGTACGATTGAAATTTCTTTAGGGAGCCGAAAACCGACTTCTGCACATGGGCCACGAAGTTTCAATCGCACTGTACAAGCACCTGCACATGGTATTTTGTGGAAGAGCCACACTCAAGGGGCCAAAGACCTGCATGTGGCTCACGAGCCGCAGTTTGCTGACCACTGTCCTAGAAAACACGCCTAGAAAAGCATCATCCAAACCACACATCTGTATGTGCTCCACTATTCCCTTCAGAGGGACAAACTGGCTCTGAAGGGCTCCTCCTATGACTGGGAGAGATGACCCTCTGAGGGGCATTAAGGCTCAGCCGGGCTGGACTATCGATATTTCCCCTGACAACTGACAAAATCTAAACGAAGCTAACTAAGAATCTGAAATCCAGCCCAACTCTGCCTTGAAGTTGCTAGGAGGCTCTGCACCTCAGGTACTCCACTTAGAAATGGAACACGGCTTGGCAGAGGGCAGGCCATGGTCTAGGAGTCTCAACCTGAGCACTAGCCTTGGCCTCACCTCCACTGAGCAGGCTGCCCTTCGGCAGGTAACCACTGCCCTGTGCCTCAATTTTCTACTCTGTGAGGCAAGGGGGTTGAGCTCAATAATCTAGAAGCTTCCTTAAGATGTTGAAAACCTTATGATTCTAAATTCTGAGAAAAGCAGTGCAGCCAGACTAAAAAGCAAACACAGTGCAGCCCAGCAGCTATAGGCACACAGTCTTCACCCCCTTCCCGGGATCAGCTCAGGGAAGAGGCTGCAGGACAATCCTGAGGGGACAGGTCAGACCACCACTCTCACTCCGTTCAGCCTCTTCCATTCAAACCTCCCGCTCCCCGCTGCTGCCTCCACCCTGTCCACTGGGCCCCTTCCCTCTACACCCCTTCTCCTCAGCCTGGCTTCTCTTGGCCCAAAATGTTGCTAAACCCAATGGTATAATTAACCACCGATAATAACCCAGACAGTGATCTGGTTAGAGGATGGGCCAGCCTGAGTCACAGTGGTTTAAATTTAATTTCTGGAGGACATCCTGTTTATTGTTAACCCACCCCGTAATTTGGGAGTGTTAACCCTCTGGGGTCTGGCTGATTCACGTGGCTTCTGTAAACAAATCATCTCTGGTTATATAATTATTGGGGGGGAAAGGTAAGCTATGGAACTGAAAAGAGAAAAAAAATGAAATTGCCATTTCCCTTTCTTAGGCCTAAAGAGAAAAGGGTATGGACAGATGAGCTTCTTGATCCCTCCCTGGGCCCCCGTTCCCCCAAATCAGCTTACAGCTGACTGACACAATGGCTTTGGACAGTGAACAATTGCCCTCAAGGACCATTTGGGTGACAGTACAAATGAGGTCCTGGTGGCATTGAGCAAAGACCAACCCTGTGGTGCACGAAGCATGTGTGGTATAAAAAGCTCAGACCAGGAATCAGAAAGCCCATCTCTGCCTCTGACTGGTTTTGTGATTTGAACAAATTGCAATCTCTCTGGAGCTCAGTTTTTTTAAACTATGAAACACAATAGTTGGACTAGATGGTCCTTCCAGCTTATGGAAACCGAATCTCCATTCTGAGAACATGGAGTGTAGGGTGAGAACGCTGAAGAATTCTCAGAGTGGTCTTCAGGACGCTGCTAACTGGAGTCTAATACTGCAGACTAGATACCAAGAAATTAAGAACTTAAGAGTCCATTATTTGTGGAGCCACAGACTCTCTCAATCTTAATTTAGCATCACAATATTTTTAGAACTGTAAGTTACCATAGAAATGTTTCCAGTTTAAACGCTCACTTGTAGATGAGAGAGAGATCTGGAGAGGTTCAGTGACCAGCCCAGGGTCATTCTCTGACTCACAGCACAGCCAGGAATACACCACCAGGCGCTGATGTCCAGTCTAGTTTTCTCTCCACTATTCATCATTTCACACGTTCACTTGCATTTGTTATTACAGTAGCCCCTTGGTATTCGGCGGGGAGGTGGTCCAGGGCTCCCCGTGGAGACCAAAATCTGCAGATATTCAAGCCCCCCATATAAAACTGTGTAAATAGTGGCCCTCTGCATTCATGGGTTCCCAACGGTGGATGTGATTTTCAATATGCAGTTGACTGAATCCGTGGATGTGAAACCTGAATGTATGAAGCGCTGACTGTGTGTATTTTAAGAAACGGTATGTCCCTGACTGGTTTGGCTCAGTGGATAGAGCATTGGCCTCGGATTGAAAAGTCCCAGGTTCAATTCCAGTCAAGGGCATGTACCTTGGTTGCGGGCACATCCCCAGTGGAAGGTGTGCAGGAGGCAGCTGATCGGTGTTTCTCTCTCATCAATGTTTCTAACCCTCTATTCCTCTCCCTTCCTCTCTGTAAAAAATCAATAAAATATATTTTTTAAAAAAAGAGAAACAGTATGTATTCTAAAGAACACTTCATTCCTTTAAAAAGTACATCATGCTCATTAGAGAAAACTTGAGAAATACAGAAAAATATAAAAGAGAGAAGAGTGGGGGAGGAAAACCCCCAAATAGTCTACATACTCATATGTAAAAGCTAACCAAGGTTATTGGCTTGGTATTAATGTATTTTAAAAATTTGAAGAAAAAAAAAAAAAAACGAACACAAATGCGCCAAATGTTAGTAGTGGTTAACTCTAAATAGTAAGAATATGATGACTGTTTTCTTATTTTCACTCTTCATATTTTTCAAATAAACCAAAAAATTCCCTTTAGACACCCCCCCCCCGCCCCCCGTGACTATTAAACTAGCACCCGATCAGTGTCAAAAGCTTGGAAAACATGGAAAAACACAAATGGCAAATACACAATCCCCAAATAAACAGTAATATCCTAAATTTCAGTGTGTACATACATGTGTACATATGTATATATGCATATACATAAATGTTAAAAATAGAGGAAACGTATCATGAGTGTTTTTATATGCCATGTATGTTTTTATGTAGTTTTCATCGCTCTTTTAAAAGCTACCTAGTGTTTCATTATATTAGTTTATTTTATTTATACAACTTTAAAAAATGTTTTTGATTTTATTTTTATTTTATTTATTTTAAAATATATATTTTATTGATTTTTTACAGAAAGGAAAGGAGAGGGATAGAGAGTTAGAAACATCAATGAGAGAGAATCATCGATCAGCTGCTTCTTGCACATCCCTACTGGGGATGTGCCCGCAACCAAGGTACATGCCCTTGACCGGAATCAAACCTGGGACCCTTCAGTCCCCAAGCCGACGCTCTATCCACTGAGCCAAACCGGTTTCGGCTTTATTTATTTATTTATTTATTATATTTTATTGATTTTTTACAGAGAGGAAGGGAGAGAGATAGAGAGTTAGAAACATCAATGAGAGAGAAACATCGATCAGCTGCCTCTTGCACCCCGCCACTGGGGATATGCCCGCAACCAAGGCACATGCCCTTGACCGGAATCAAACCCGGGACCTTTTAGTCCCCAAGCCGATGCTCTATCCATTGAGCCAAACCGGTTTCGGCAATGTTTTTTGATTTTAGAGAGAGAGGAAGGGAGAGGAAGAGAAGAAACATTGATGTGAGAGAGAAACATCGATTGAACCAGCGATCTTCCAGAGTACGGGATTATGCTCCAACAAACTGAGCCACACTGGCTAGTTTTATTTTTGTAATTCACATTACTTACTGGTGGTCACTTCAACGGTTTCAAATTTTCCTTCTATTATAAACAAAATTAATAGCTAAATCTTTGTGCATCTCAAGGATTAGTCACATATGATAAACGCTCATAATTGAAAATGCTGATCTCTGAACGCATAATAATCTGGCCACTCAGTGTATATATATCCTATTTAATCTAAGGCAATATGCAAATTGTCCCCTTGACCAGGAGTTCGACCAGCAGGCAGGCCAGCCAACCACCCATATCTCCTCCCCCTGGACAGGTTGGCCGGACCCTACCCATACACAATTCATGCACACCCTGCCCCCCCCCCCCCTACTTATATATATATTAGAGGCCCGGTGAAATTCATGCTTGGGGGGAGGTTTCCCCCCTCAACCCAACTGGGACCCCTCTCTAATCTGGGACCCATCAAGGGATTGGGCCTAAACTGACAGACATCCCTCTCACAATCCAGGACTGCTGGTTCCTAACTGCTCACCTGACTGCCTGCCTGCCTGATTACCCATAACTGATCCCCTGCAGGCCTTGTCACCCACAACTAACCACCTACTGCCTAGTTACCCTTAACTGCCCTCCTGCCAGCCTAGTCGCCGCTTACTAGCCCC